CATAAGTACGAAAAACGACGAACTGGGTCAAACCCAATGCAAAGAGATTCGAATCAGGACGCTAGCGGAATTTCGTTGACACACCCATTCTAGCGGGTATCGTCGAGGCAGCGCATTTTCCCTCTCCTCTCCCAGTAAGTTGGTTTGAAGCATGTCGACGCGAACGGAACTGGCTTCGTTGCCTTCCATCGAGCCGCTGAAGCAAGTGGTTGGCAGTGGCAACGAGGAGCTTGCCGCGGCGCTGATGCAATCAATTACGGATGATTTGATCCAGCTATATGGGGAAGATGAAATCGATGAAGAAGAGCATGAAGAATACCAGTCGATGGTCGAAGAGATGATCATCAACACCGACTCACCCAGCAACGAAGCTGGGAGTTGGCAAATGGTAATTCGCCGAGTCGTCGCTCAGCTGAACCTCGATGTTGAAGCAGACTTTTCGTTCAATCATTTTGGCTTCAAGCATTATTACTGTTGGCACCCTTACCGGAAGATGCTGACCGATCGGCTGTCGGAAGACGCTCTGCAGTTGCTACGTCACCTGGAAGAAGGTCGGCCCTTGAAGGGAAAGCAAGTTCATGACGATGGATCTCTTTTCGGCTGGCTGGAAGCTGACGAGGTGAAACGATTGCACCATGAACTGGATGGACTGGACGAGCATGCCATTTCCGTTGAAGAGCTAAACGAGTTCCACGAGCAATTGATCGAATGTCTGGCTGAAGTCGCCGAAAGCGATCGGGCCCTATTGCTCACTGCGAATTAAACTCTGAGAAACGATGTCGCAACCTGAATTCCTTAAGATTGCCAGCTTTGCCAATGCGGCCGATGCCGATCATTTGCGTGTTGTGCTGGAAGAGCATGGCATCCGCGCTTTTGTCGATGGTGGCGATTTGCATACATCGCTCAGTTACATCGGTAGTGCCCTTGGAGGCGTCCATGTGATTGTTCGTGCCGAGGATGCCGAGCAGGCAGTCGAGTTGGTTCGACAGTTTGAGAATGACGAGGATCAGCCCAGCGGCCCTCCGTGGTTTTGTGGTGCTTGCGAAGAAGTTGTCGACGCTGGCTTTCAAGTTTGCTGGTCATGCGGTGCTGAGCGTAGTGAAATAGAAGTGCCGATGCCTGAAACAGCGGAGGTTGCCTTCCACGAAGAAGAGAATGCCCCACGTGAACGTTTGATGGAAGTTGTTGTCAGCGATCGACCACTAGATTTGGCCAACCCATTCGCGTCGCCTCGAGTCGAAGCTCAGGCCGACAAACCAAAGCCGTCCGGAGAGATCAACGAAGAAGCAGAAGCGATGCTACTTCGAGCCTGGCGGGCCTCCATTCTGGGCCTGATCGGCCTACCATTCATCGCCAGCTTCTATTCGATGTACATGCTTGTCGCGGCGTTGAAAGTAACCGACGTCTTCTCGCAGGAAGGGAACGTGCGATTCTACACGGCGTTCTTCATTAATGTCGTCGCAGGCTTTGTCTGGGGCTTTTGTTTGATTTTACTCATCTCTTGGAACTAGTTCGAGAATCGGGGGATTCGATGGGAACGTTTCTAACCAACGTCCATGTGCAATGCAGCTCGCCTGAGCAAGTGACGGAAGTGGTACGATCGATGGACGTGCAAGGAGCCTGGCTCTCAGGTCCCAACGGTCCCTGGATCACGCTATGGGACTCGATGGGGCTGACACGTGCGGGTGATCTTGCACAGCATGTCTCCAAACAACTAGAAGCCCCAGCGATTGCGTTCATGGTGCACGACAGCGACATCCTCTTTTACTGGCTGTACGATAATGGCCAACTGCTGGACGAATACAACTCGTGCCCTGGCTACTTCGACGGGGATGACTCGATGGAGGAAGCGTATCAGGCCGACTGCGAGCAGATAAAGAAGTATTGCCGCGCGGAAACGACGATTGAAGAGTTAGAACGCCTCCTCAAGATCTGGACCCAGGCCGA